TATTTGATTCTAATTTTTATCAACAAGATAAGTTTGTGTTCAATCTTAACAACAATTGAACTGATTGATCATTCATGTGTCGGTCATGTTGATGGCCTGATCAGATGAGAGACCAAATAATGGCCTGCCTCAGTCTTTACTCAGACCCTGCAACCTTTATTCAGGTCAGGTGGTGTTATTTTGTTTAATAGAAAATTGCACGTTTTTCTGTTCTCAAAGCTTAAACTCATAATATTGCTAAAGTTTTGGTTTGTTTTCCATAATTCATTTTTCTGGGTCCTATTAGAACTTAGGGTGTGATTGGATATGAATTTTATTTGGTTTTGATTGATTTTTTGTTTTTTTAACTATAGTTACTTTTGAAAAAGTTTTTTGGGTTAGGTTTGAGTAAAATTTTGAGTTTGTACTAAAATAATATTTAAAATAAAGTGATTAAAGTTGATTTGATGTAAAAATGTGAGAAAAGTGTATGGAAGTGGCAGATAATTAAAATTATTATGTGAGTCGATAAATAGTGAAATAAAGTTAATGTGATGTGTAAACAACAACAACATACCTAGTATATTCCCAACTGGTTGGATTTTGGGGCGTCAGTTGTACGCAGACCTAACCCTTGTAATTATATAAGGAGGTTGTTTCCATAGCGACCCAAGGTGCATTACATCGTTTGATATATATATTTTTTTTCTAGATACTTCACTAATAGAAGAAACACTAGAATTTAATTGAACCATTTTGATCTAGTTCATTATTAGCACTATGCCATGAGAATTGTAAACATGATTAAATTAATATTATTTAACTTTATTGATAATATTGATGATACTGAGATTGGGTTCAAGTTGAGTTAAATTTGAGTTTTGATTAATTTTTTTTGGAATGATGTGATATCCAATCACACCTTTTTGTGTTTATAATCGTGAAGATTGATACCTTTTTTTCGCCTTCTTTTTACCCTCTTAACTTGACCCTTCCAAAATGTTTTTTCTGGCCCTTAATGTTGCATTAAAATATGTCTCTTGACACTGAAAATATGACAAGCCAACAACTGATTCTTTTGGGACATTATTTTGCCAATTATAAACTTACAGACTAAATTTGCAACTTTTAAGTGAAAAGTTTCGCTATTTGAATATTATGGACACAAAGTGCAATGTTCATATGCATACTTATCTTGACTTGATGAATGCAATACTGATTCATATGGAACACGAAATGCAATGATAATCTGCTTGCTTATAGCGACATGAAGAATGCAATACCGGTTCTTATGGAATGTGTTTTTGCTCATTTTTCAATAATGGATCTTAAGCGGATTTCAATTTCTACAGAACCAAATGTAAGGTGTCCTCAATTGTACAGACCCATATATTTAGCAATCTCGCCACTGAAGTGGTTTTCAAATGCTCAACTTCCATTGACCACACTTATCAAGATATTATAATATGGTAATAAAATTTGTTGATTTTAATTGGACAGGCAGCACTTCCTCAAATCCTTCACGATACAGAAAAAGAATTTTTCGTGAAATGTCTGAATTTACTAAGGGAAGGGGCAAATATTTTGTATGACAGAATGAAAGAAATTCCCTGCTTTTCTTGCCCGCAGAGACCAGAAGGAGCGGTGTTTGCCATGGTGAGAATAATTGTATTTGTCAGTTGTATTTTATCATTGACATGTGACAAATGACTGTTCTGTGGACAATGAAAATGGCAGGTCCGGTTGGACTCATCCCTGCTGGAAGACATTGATGATGATGTGGAGTTCTGCTTCAAGCTGGCGAAAGAAGAGTCTGTCATTCTTGTTCCCGGTAAGCATAAAACACCAAATGTCTAATGTGAGTATAGTACAATATGACTCATAGTTCCGATGCATTTTCACTTAAGGATAATTAGGAACTGCCCGTCAGATAATACAAACAAAGCCCAGCTAACTTCGGAAGAGTATACAACTGACTCGAGGTTAAGTTGGACATAAAAATTGTCCCAAGTGTTGACTAACTGAACTGAATTCACCTACGGTTATTTGAGATGATTGTAGATTAACAGAAGAATGTCAACAAAACAGAAAATTGAAAAGTATGTGACATTCGTTATGTATAGATAATTTATTATACATTAGATATATCATTGAAAATTTCCAATTACATTGCTTGAATCGAGCATGGTCCATTTGTTTTCACAGGAGTTGTGGTTGGAGTGAAAAACTGGCTTCGGTTCTGTTATGCCATTGACACCGAATCACTCGAAGATGGCATTGAGAGGATTAAATGTTTTTGCCAGAGGCATGCAAAGCAAAATATGCAAATTAATGATCGTTAGGAACTTCCGATCATGCTCATTTCCATAAATGCACTTGTAAGAACTTTAACATGTTTTTCTAATGGTGATCAAATACTTGTAGAGTACCTATAAGAGCTAGAGAATCTGTATCCGCTTTTTCCACTTTTGGTTTATATACACATATACTTATATTATTCAGGTCTGGTTGATATTTTGTACCCATATTGGTTCGATTACGAATCCCCAGTTTTCAGCTCGCAAAACTCATGGACTTGCACTTGAAATTAGTATTTTGATATCAAATAATTAAGTCCGTGACCAGTAAAACGAATTCTGGAGGACTATGAAATTGTATGTGCATTGCACGTGATTTCATAATTAAATAGGGAATTTTATTTTTCATTATTGAATTGATGTGGGTTTATTGCACCAAATCCCTCTGTATTATATGAAATCTGCGCGTTATCCTTCTGTATTTCAAAAATTGCGTCATACCCCCTTGTATTTAATATCTGCATGCAGACTCGCCCTTTGATATTAACACCGTTACTTTAACACTGACGGTGTTACTTTTTTTGTCAAAATTACAATTATACCCTTACTTTATTGCTGAATTTACCATTATGTCATTATACCTTTATTTTATCACTGATTTTATCATTATGCCATTACTTTATCACTGAATTTACTATTATGCCATTATTTTCAAATAATATATATATTCTAAATTATATATAAAGAAAATAATATACATATATATAACATATATATATAATTCATATATAACGTATTTATATAACGTATATTATATATATATAT